TTTAAATTTAAATTTGGGGGGGGAGGAAAGTTTGATACTGAAGCCGTTACTTAAAAGAGTGATGGGTTTGCCCTTCTTGGAGTTGTAAATCATCTATCTCAGAGTTCTCCAAACTTTCCAGGTTGGCGCCCCAGAGTGGGGGGAGGGAGAAAAGAGGGGATGGTTTTGTGGGAGGGGCAGGTACATGTGCACAGTGTGGACACCCGTTGCTTGCGCGAGTAGGTTGTGAGGGCTCACACGAGTGGGACCGTGAGCACCCACGACAAAGCTCACATGAGTGGGACTGTGAGCGCCCGTAATGACACTTGTGCTAGTGGGGCTGCGACACTCGTGCAAGTGGGTCTACCGGTGCTCACACAAATGAGGTCATGAGCGCCCGCGATGCATGTGTGTACATATGCACTGATCAGATACTCATGTGGCCCGGTGGCCAATAGGCCACAGCCCAGTAGTGGGCCATGGCCCACAGGTTGGGTACCCCTTGGTCTATATCAGGGGTGTCAAACTCAAGGCCTGGGGGCCAGATGCGGCTCACAGTGCTTAGATCTGGTCCGCAGGGCCGTCCTGGAAATAGAAAAGGATCGGCCCACATTGCCCCTGTCAGCAAAAATGGAGCTTGGGAGGATTGCATGCAGCCCTCCTGAGATCCGTTTCCCCTGGAGAAGGAGGCCATTGCAGCTGAAAACAAGCTTGGAGGCCCGTTTTTGCTGGCAGAGCACTCGGGCCACCACAGGCGCTCCCGACACGAGTGATGTCGACCTGGCCACACCCACCCCGGCCCCCCGAGGTCAAACACAGTCCTGATGCAACCTTCAATGAAATCGAGTTTGACACCCCTGGTCTAAATTATCTCCAACCTTGTGATTATAATTAAACATGACAGAGATGAAAAGCTGAGCCTGGGTTGGGCCACTCGTTCCCAATGTGTTGACTTTCTACAGAGAGCCCTTCTGCTTCCTTTTGAAAACACACCTCTGGATTTGCAAGCCAAAATGATACAGACAGTTTTATCCCTTCTGTTCTATAGCAGCTATAAACCAAAACATGAACTGCAATATCATGGTGACTGGATATAAATATTTGTATTCTTTTTTTTTTTTTTCCATTGGGTTTCTAGGTGGCTCATAGACTCTCCTGCAGAAGATGTTACAAATATTCCACAGCTTATCCCCCTGTGTGCCCCTTTTTGCCTCCTGGGCCTCAGGGAAGCCTCCTGGGCGAAGCAGTAAGACAGCAAGGGGGGGATCCCAGCACAGCTGATTGTTGGAACAATTGATCATTTGGGGGGGGGGAATACCGGTTCAGCTGAACCGAAAGCTGTTTTTTTACTACCAGTTCCGCCAAACTGTAGCATTTTTTACTACCGGTTCACCCGAACTGGGCCGAACCGGTAGAATACCATCACTGTGCTATAGAGGAGGCGTCATAGATCTGGTCCCTGACAAAGTTTGTTTTATTACCATATGTTTTATTATTTCATCCGTTTCCTTTTGGGATATTAGTAGGTTGTTTTTTTGTTATTGTTGTTTTAAAACGGTTGTTAGCTACCTAAAATTGCTTAGTGAGTGGGGGTAGGGAGGCTGGATAATTGATTCAAGTAAAAATAAATGAAATGGATAATCCAACCTAGTACAACCTTTATTTGTCTTGGTCTTTAGGATTCAACATTTCTAAAGTGTAATAGCAATAGCACTTAGACATATATACTGCTTCACGGTGCTTTACCGCCTTCTCTAAGCAGAATTACAGAGTCAGCATATTACCCCTAACAATCTGGGTCCTCATTTTACTGACCTCAGAAGGATGGAAGGCTGAGTCAACCTTGAGCTGATAAGAATCAAACTGGCAAACAACTGGCAGTCAGCAGAAGTAGCCTGCAATATTGCATTTTAACCACCGCACCACCACAGCTAATAATAAATAATAGATTTATTGTGTTGCTCTGCTGTTAGATCAGATGACAGAAATCCAGAAACACATAACTCTGCAAAGCCATTGACCATTTTGAAGCCAGAACATAGGATATAGCTGGAGTACTAGTTCCTAAATATTTGAGTCACTAAATGAGGAATAGCAATAAAAGAATATATATCTGGTTTGTCCCACTCTAATATTGCTGGTAGACTGCATTTAACTTGGTATATAGCAATTTTCTGCAGTCAATTTGGGGTGGATAATGTTTAAATGTTTTTTTAAGTTAAATGCAGCCTTTGATGGTAATTAATCATGGAAGCAGAAAGAAAAAATGGATTACAGGCAGTCCTCAATTTACAACCATTTATTTAGTGACCATTCAAAGTTACAACGGTACTGAAAAATGTGACATGACCATTTTTCACATTTACGACCATTGCAACATCCCCATAATCACATGATCAAAATTAGGATCTTTGGCAACTGATTCATATTTACGATGATTGCAGTGTCCCATGGTCATGCGATCACTTTTTGCATGTTACTAATTTAACATCTTCAGTGATTCAATTAACAACTGTGGCAAGAAAGATCATAAAATGAATCAAAATGCACTTAATTGCAAATTTTGGGCTCAATTGTCATAAGTCAAAGGCTATCCTAAAGAGATTTAAAAATTCCAAATTCCAGGAATTTCCCAATATAATAGATAATAGAATAGAATAGAATAGAATAGAATAGAATAGAATAGAATAGAATAGAATAGAATAGAATAGAAAATGGAATGGAATGGAATAGAATAGAATAGAATCCTTTATTGGCCAAGTGTGATTGGACACACAAGGAATTTGCCTTGGTGTAAATACTCTCAGTATACATAAAAGAAAAGATACAGTGGTCAAGAGTCGAGAATCATAAGGTATGACACTTAATGATAGTTGTAGGGTGCAATAAGCAATCAAATCATACAAGGATATAAAAATCAATAAATCAATCCGCGTAGAAATCAATTGGATAGGAAAAATATCAATCAATAAATCAGTTCATAAATGAAATACACGACACAGTTTCCCATTCAGGATGTAGTAGTAGCTCATATTTCCTTTCTGTTCTCCAAAATACCGTATATGGTTGAGGAATTGTGTATTTTTTGGTGTGTCATGCCCTGGTGAATGCTATCAGTCCCCTCAATGGTGAAAATGTAACTGCAGTAAAAATTGAATAGGAAGGAACTTGTGTATCTCTCATCTCCATAGCATGCTTGGTTTGTCAAGATGAAAAGAAATAATGGAATGTAGTTTCACAAGTTCTGGAAGAAAGGGTATTTTCTCATGACTAGGCTACGAACTGGTCTGATGATTTGTATCAGAAAGAATTTGGCTATTGATTGCTAGGGAAGTAAAAGCATAGAATAAACCAGCCACATCAAGGAATGAGTAGCATCTCATCTTCGTAGCAAAGTAATTTGTTGTTGGGTAAGGTAAGGTGTATTTAAGCTACATTATCCTTATTAGTACTGTTGCTATTTAATTAAAGTTGAATGTTATGGAGTTTTTCCCCCTTCTGTTCAGACATGTCCAATTAAGAAACTGCCTGGACAAGTCCATGTGGTTTTGTTGGCAAGGTTTTTCAGAAGTGCTTTTGCCATTGCCTCTTTGTTAGGCTGAGAGAAAATAGATTGGCTCAAGGTCATCCAGCTGCTGTTGTGCCCAAGGTGCGACTAGAACTCCCAGTCCCCTGGTTTTTAGCCTGGTGTCTCAACCCACTGCACCAAATTACCTCTCATTTTCTGGCTTAGAGAAGTTCAAAACCTATTATTCTAATCATAATGAAAGAACATTCTGTATTTCTTTGGAATCTTAAAGATCTGGCCATTTGAGCAGTGGCCATTACTTCTCCAGAATAGTGTATACCATTCCCTCAGTGGTGGGATTCAAAATGTTTTACTACTGGTTTTGTGCGCATGGCTTGATGGGCGTGGCAGGGGAAGGATATTGTAAAATCTCCATTCCCTCCCCACTCCTGGGGGAAGGTTACTGCAAAATCCCCATTCCCTCCCCACTACACTAACCTGCTTTTCAGCTCCGTTCTCCTGTGTAGGGCAACAAAAGAAGACCCAGCCAATCAGCTGGGACTCGGGGGGCAGAGAATAGATGGGGGTGGGGCCATTCAGAGGTGGTATTTGCCAGTTCTCCGAACTCAAAATTTCTACTACCGGTTCTCCAGAACTGGTCAGAACCTGCTGAATACCACCTCTGCATTCCCTGTTCCAACATTTTTACTTCTGGAAAACTCTAGGACAGGGATGTCAAACTCGATTTCATTGAGGGCCACATCAGGGTTGTGTTTGACCTTGGGGGGCGTGGCCAGTGTTGGCGTGGCCAGCTTGACATCACCTGTGGTGGCCAAGTGCTAAGGCAGAACTTCCCTCAGACCCTCACTCACTCTCATTATAACCTTCCTTCCTTCTTCTTTTTCCTTCCCTCTTCATTCTCCTTTTCTTCTTCTTTCCCCTCTTTTCTTATTTTTCCTTCCTTGCTCTCTTCCCATCTTCTCTCCTTTTTCTTTGTTTTTCCTTTTTCCCTATCTCCTTTCCTGTCCCTTCTTGATGCTCAAATGCAAAAGAGGAAACATTTCTCCTTTTTTGCTTTGTTTTTAGTTTGTTTTGCTAGCCCTCTGCCAGCGAAAACGGAGTCCAGGGAGGCTACATGCGATGCGCCTGGGCCCTGTTTTTGACTGCAATGGCCTCCTGCAGCCCTCTGCCAGCGAAAATGGAGTTTGGGGGACGCAAGCTCCATTTTTGCTGGCAGAGGCACCGCAGGCCAATCCTTTGCTGTTTCCAGGGCGGTCCCACAGATCAAATCTAAGCACCTCATGGGCCAGATCCAACCCATGGACCTTGAGATTGACACCCCTACTCTAAGAACATCTCCAAAATGGCTGGACTGGCAGTTTCTTATAATGTTTCTGTGTTCCAAAAAAGATAAGAATCACACATCTTTGTTACAATACCTTTTGATATATTAATAAATCTATCCTGTAATACAAGTATTATTTTACAAAGCTTACATGTCTTCCTAAACCAGCAAAGACCATGACCATTACCAATGCCACCCAAAAATCAGTGAAAACCACGGCTCATCCTGAAGTGACTTCTAAGATCCCAGCAATCACCAACAAGACCATCCCTGCTGCACAATCTACCATTGCCTCCAAAACAGATAAACCTATACAACCTGCCAGTACAAAGCATTCACCAACTGAATCTGGGACACACAAGACCACTGCAGTTCCTGTAACTAAGCCATCATCTGCTTTGGTCACAGGTACGTACCCACATTTCATTTCCTACTTGATTGTTGTCTAGATAGCATCTGCAGCTCACTTCATTCAATTCATCATTATTGTCTTTGCTTTTAAAAAACTTTGTCCAAATTTATAGAAGTGAGCACATCTCTTCTTGGATTACTCTGAAAAATCAGAATATTATGGGTAATTTATTACATTCATGAGCATTTGCTTTGTTTCTCACGTACGGCTTTAACATCAACTGAAGAGAAACTATGTTGTAAACAAACAAAATGCTGTAACTTTTCCAACCAGATGTACTTCAGAAGTATTGGAATGACAAGTCCCAGAATTCTAAGCCAGCATCCAATAGAGGACAGTCCAGCTACTTCCCAGGAATAAAACTGTTCTTTAACAATTACAGTTCCGAAATATAGCAAGGACATAGAAGGTTACCTAACTAAGAAAGTTTGTTACCTGAACTTCACAAAGGAACAAACCTATCCGGTCCCTCCCAAAAGCAGATTCTACAAAGGACACCATTAATAAAAAGGAAGCCCCTTTCTAATAGCTTTTGACTGCAAGTTGGATTACATGTTCATAGAACAGGGTTAAGCAATGTGGTGTTTTTCATATGTCTTGGAGTATGACAGCCATTAACTCTTGCCTTTGACTATGCTGTCATGGCTTAATGCAGTGTTGGGATGCTGCCGGTTTGGACCGGTTCACTGAACCGGTAGCCCCGCCCTATCCTGTCCTTTATTTCCTGATTTGTAGCTCATCTCAATTCCGCGTCTCAGCTGATTCCCCCCCACACACACACACCCACTGTTCTACTTACTGTTGCTGACTTGGAAGGTAAGCAGCTGAGCTCTTAAATGCTCCATTTTCAGCACTGCGCATAAGGACCTTAGGCAAACACACGCTCATCGAATCGGTTGTTAAACCGGCAGCATCCCACCACTGGCTTAAAGGCAGTTGAAGTCCAAAACCACTGGAAGATACAAAATTCAGGCATGTGGAGTGGGAAAGCTGACAATATATGTCCAGAAGGGAACAACATAGATGGAGTGAAGCCCGGAGATCAAATTTCTTTGTGGGAACATTTAAGGTGAACCCATGTAGAATGGAGAGCACAAGATTAAGAGGTAGCGTGATATCCTCCAAATAATTAAAGCCAGTTGGCTCCAATTACAAGGACAGGATTTTTGCTTCAAATTAGGAAGAATTTCCCAATGATTCCACTGACATATGACATGATAGGAATTATCCTCCAAAACATGTTAACATTAATTTTAATATCTTCTGACTGGTGTGCAGGACGGGATGAACAAAAGAGCAACATAGGCAGGACCAAGCAAGCATTTCTGTTTTCTGCTTTTTTTTTGGAGCTGGCCGATTCTTACTGAATATTCTAGAGCATTCACACAGTTGTTATTCCCATTTTAGAATCATTGGAAATGATGACTCCCAAGTCTTTAGCAGTGGGGTGAAGGTGCTCTAGGGGTACTGAAAAGAGGTTCTCAATTGTCCACTCCGGCTCTAAAAGTCAGCCAAGAGAAATCCAACCTGGTCTGAGCTATGGTAAAGAATAGACCCTTGAGATAGGTTCCTACAACCCAACAGAATTCATTTTATTTGACTGTTAAAGCAGTGGTCTCCAAACTTGGTAACTTTAAGACTGGTGGACTTCAACTCCCAGAATTCAAGTCCACAAGTCTTAAAATTGCCAAGCGTAGAGAGCCCTGTGGTTAAAGGATAAGTCACCACTTCTAAAGTAGAATAAAGATTATTTTGAGCTCATCTGGTTCTTCCATAGATACAGTTTTCTTGGTAACATTTCAGAAGCATTTGTCAGTAGTTTCTTCCAGGAAGTTGGTTGGGGTTTTTTTCTTTTCTTTTTAAGCCTTCCTACTCTCTTCTACAGAATGTATTTCCTGGTAAACTCCTGGCCAAGTAAGTAGTAACCATAGCCAACCTACTTAGTTTTTCAAGATCAGCCAATGTCAGCTACATGTCCTTAAAAAGAAATATGGTAAAACATGATGAGAATGAAAAAAACTAGAACTGGCAAGCAAGAGCTATCCAATATACACACTTAGAAAAAAAATGAAAAATTAATACTTCAGCCAAAGTGTATGAACATTTTTGTCATGTTCTTTTTTTTAAAAAACCATTACAGAAGCCTCAGCAATTCAAGGCAACCCATCGGGGTTCAGCGCTGGCAGCTTCATTGGTGGCATTGTGTTGACTCTGGGACTTCTCGCCTTTGGCTATATTGGATGCAGATTCTACCACACAAAAAGAGGTGTTCAGTATCGAACTATGTACGTTGGATTGAGTACTTTTGATCTTTCTCTAGGTATACCTTGTTTCTCCAACAATACGCCCCCCCATAGGAAGACCCAGCATGTTTTCTAGGCATAAAATGAAATTAAGCCCCTCCCCCCAAATTTAGGCCTAGTTTAAAACATGCAAAATCGGGAGGGATCTTGCCATTAGGAGTGCCCCGCGGGCAGCTACGCCTCACCATCAGCCGCTCCTAACACCATGGTGGAGCCCGGAGGGCTCCCTTACCCCTCCCTTATCCGGGTGAGCAGGCGGACGGCGTCGGCGTGGATGTCCAGCAGCGTTTCAGCCGCTTCTCAGGCCTCCGTAGCTTCCACGGTTCCCACCGGTGCTGGCGCCTCTCTCGCCAGCACCGTCTCCAACAACAGCGTCTGAGTCGCTCCCGCTTTCCCCTCGTCCCCGTAACAACAGGAAAAAGAAACCTTTTGAGGTTCCTGGGAGCGCCACGCGCTGCTTTTTGGTTTAATCCTGAGTGACTGGGTGGGCGTGAGAAGAGCCGAGCGAGTGTCTCTGCTGCTGCTACCCTTGGTGCTCCAGCCTCGGGCTCTGCAAGTTTGCAAAACTCCCGGTGCACAGCCCATTCCTGCATTCCAAGCACCCAGCTGAGCTGCAGCTGTCCCTCTCTCACTAGCGCCATCTCCAATAACAGCGGCAGCAGCAGCGGGAATCGTGGAAGTTACGGAGGCGGCTCCCTCACCTGAGAAGCGGCTAAAATGCTTCCACGGTTCCTGCCGCTGCTACCGCTCTTATTGCAGATGTCGCTGGTGAGAGAGGGACAGATGCAGCTCGGCCTGGGCGCTTGGAATGCAGGAACGGGCTGCGCACTGGGACTATTGTAAACTTGCAGAGCCCGAGGCTGGAGCACCAAGGGTAGCAGCAGCAGAGATGCTCGCTCGGCTCTTCTCATGCCCATCCAGTCGCTCGGGATTAAACCAAAACACAGCGCACGGCGCTCCCAGATACCTCAAAATCTTTTTTTTCCTGTTGTTACGGTGACAGGGAGCGACTCAGACGCTGTTGTTGGAGACTGCGTGGGGGGGGGGAGAAATTAATTCACCCCCAAAAAGACGTCCTAGCCGTTTTTTAGGGGCTCAAAAAAAAATAAGGCCTGGCCTTATTTTGTGAGAAACACAGTAATACTGGACAAGCTTTGAGGAAGAATGTAATCTGCTTGAACACTAGAGAATATGACACAATACAGAGTTGGCAGGGCTGACATCCATGTTTTTCTAATACAATAATGAAACCAATGGTAGGATGATGGAAGCTATAAGTTCAGACATGTTAACCCAGAGGACTCCAAACTTGGCAACTTTAAGACTTGTCGGCTTCAACTCCCAGAATTCTCCAGCCAGCTATTCTGGGAGTTGAAGTCCACAAGTCTTAAAGTTGCCAAGTTTGAGGACCCCTATGTTAGCCCAACAAGATAGAGCAGACCAAGAAGCCAGAACCCTTCTCAAATACAGGCTGTCAGCATCATTTAACCATAAAACTCACTGATTGAATTGCTTGAAGTCGGCAGATAAATAATGCTGAAGACTGAGCCAAATCTTAAACTAAATTGATCAATGGTCTCACTGATAGAAGGAGTTCTTCTACTCTTTTTTGCAGGTCAGGTGGTTACCAAAACATTAATGTATATTCTGCCTTTCTCATCCAGGTATACTTCTCCAACATTTTAATGCAAACTCAGGCACAATATTACACCCTGCTGCTAACTGCATGGAATCTTGATTTCCCCTCTAATAATAATTAGGATAGGATAGGATAGGATAGGATAGGATAGGATAGGATAGGATAGGATAGGATAGGATAGGATAACAAAGTTGGTACCTTGGGGGTCTTCTAGTCCAACCCCCTGCTTAGACAGGAAACCCTATACCATTTCAGACAAATAGTTAACCAATTTCTTCTTAAAAACTTCTAGTGTTGGAGCATTCACAATTTCTGGAATCAAGTCGTTCTATTGATTAATTATTTCAAGCACTCAGGAAATTTCTCCTTAAGTTTAAGGTTGCTTCTCTCCTTGATTAGTTTCCACCCATTGCTTCTTGTCCTGCCCTCAGGTGCTTTGGAGAATAGATTGACTCCCTCTACTTTGTGGCAGCCCCTGAGATATTGGAACTCTGCTATCATGTCACTCCCTTATCTTTCTTTTCATCAAACTAGACATACTCAATTCCAGCAACTATTCTTTATAAGTTTTAACCTCCAGTCTTCTGATCATCTTTGTTGCTCTTCTCTACACTCTTTCTAGAGTCTCAACATCTTTTTTACATTGTGGCGATCAAATATCATCCTAATGAAATAGCAATATTTAAGAACGGGGTGTTAGTAATTTGTCTGGTTCCTTTCATCTTAGCTCTTTTAAGTTTTTATTCCTCTGTAAGGCGAGACTAGCATCTCTTGCCCAAGAGGAAATGTCATAGTACTAAACCCTTTGTAACCCTTTCTAACAATGAGAGTTCTTTTGTTTACTTGGTGATTACTTCCTTTCGTTGGCTCAACATGGGCAGAGGCCGGGAGCTCTGCAACATCCTGCCTGTTGAACCATTTCAGCCCCTGGTTGGACCCTACCTTTTTCTGTTACGGCAGAAAGCAAACTCTCTTGCCTCCAGCTGTTGTTCACAAAAGTATGGGGCCATATAGTGGAGCACATAGCTGATCCTAAGATAGAATAACTTTTTCTTTGTTTGAAGGAAGCTGCACTCTTTCATCTTATGCTTGCCTTGCCACCCAACTCTAATTCCAGAATTTTGCTCACCAAGCTCCTTTGGTTTATTTTTAATCATCCAGTAAAAAAAGGAGGTATTTTCTTTCTTTCCAGTAAGATCAGATACTATTTTTGCTTTGTGGTGGTTGTGGTTCCCAGATAGTGCTGGCTCTTGGTGATTGTCCAGACAGGAAGCCCAAGCAAAATCTTTATTGTAAGGTTCCATTAACAAAATCTCGTAAGACTGAAAGTAACTCTCACCTCTTTTCCTTTTAATCTCCAGAAAGCTAGGGTGTCTGTCTCCCTTCTGAAATTCTTATCACTTCACTTTACTTTATTGATTAGCCCTGGGGTCATATCAAACTGCAGAGTTCCAGACCCAAATTATTAGTAAAATCTAATACAAATAATTTAAAATGGAATTGGAATAAAATACGATATAAAATGGAATTGGAATAAAATACAATTTAAAATGCAATTGGAATAAAATACAATAATATAATATATAGATAAATAAAATATGATCAAATTATATTTTAGGATCACCCCTACAATCTACCCCAATCAGTTCCATATATGCTGATCTCAGCCGAACCATTTTGCTTAAGTACTGTGCTGTGTTAAATGTTATTTCCAGATTCTGGCTGCACATAAGGTAAGTTGTTTTGAGATGGGGATCCCAATGGGTCATTCGTTTGGTATATAGACCAAGGAACCTGTCTCTCACCCTTTTATACAGTCAACAATCAAATAGGATGTGAGCCAGGCCTTCTACCTCTGTCGCTCCGCAAATGCAGAGGCGTCCATTGGAACCTCGGGTTCACAACCAAATCGGGTGACGACCAAAAATTTTGGAAAATTGTTGCTTCTGGTCACGAACAGATCCTCGGGTCCTGATCAAATACAGCTACGGTGATTTCCCCTACTGTGCCATTATTATTTTTTTGTCTGCACATACGCAGTCAGTCTTGTTTCCTTGAACGGATTACGGTCGTGACCCTAAGTTCCACTGTATAGAATGGAATCTCCTATATCTGACCATTGTGTCGAGCTGTTCGAATCTCGCTCGCATAAATATCTCCCTAAGATGTTTTGACAGTTGTAACTTCAAATAGCTGTCTAGTTGAAAAGTATGTTTGTATTTGCTCAGCCATTTGCTCTGCTTATCACACACACACACACACACACACACACACACACACACACATATGGACGGACTTCCCTTCTATAGGTTGAGATAACCTTTACGTAGCAGTTGTCCACTCTGTGGCTCTTCTTCCTGTTTTCCAAGGCCATTCCCACACATCATCTGACATAGTTGAAGATTCCTATTCATGGGAAGAATGTACTGCCAAATGCAGGACAACTTTACAGTTCAATTATTTTTAACTTCAACATATTCTCTTTGCAGTTATAGTAAGCTGTATTAGTAAAGAAACCACAAGGTGCTTGTTCCTTGCCCAGATACCCATCTCCACCTTCATTGTTTTTACTATTGAAATAATTTCCCCCACCTCAACTTCTACTTGTATATTTAATTGCATCCCATTGGAATTAATGGGCAAAGGATACATGCATAATAGCAATAGCAACTAAGACTTATATACCGCTTCACAGTGCTTTACAGCCCACTCTAAGCTGTTTACAGAATCAGCATATTGCTCCCAACAATCTGGCTCCTCATTTTATCCTCCTCGGAAGGATGGAAGGCTGAGTCAACCTTGAGCCTGGTGAGATTCGAACGGCCAAATTGCAGGCAGCCAGCAGGCAACAGAAATAGCCTGCAGTACTGCACTCTAACCACTGCACCACCATGGCTCATATTAGAGAGCATATATTACAGGTACTCCTCATTTACCGAGCACAATTGGGATTGGCATCTTGGTTGTTGAGTGAGGCAGTCACTAAGTAAAATCATGACTGCTTAGGAACTTCCTTCAGCTTTTCTTTGCTTGAAAGGACTATGAAACTCATAAATGCGAGGATTGATTGCAGAGTTATTTTTTCATCACCTTTCATCATCAGTTTGCTCCAGTGCAGGTGTGTCAAACTCACATCATCATGTCATCACATGACGTATCAGGACTATTTCCCCCTTCCCTAAAAGGGGGTGGGCATGGCCAGCACGTGACACATCCGGCCCACCAGCCGTGAGTTTCACACCCCTGCTCTAGTGATTAAAACACCAGGCTAGAAAGCAGGAGATTGGAGTGCAAGTCCAGTCCTAGCCATGGAAACCATGATTTTTGGGATAGCCATGATTTTGGGCTAGTCATTCTCTCTCAGCCCGGCCCACTCACAGGTGGTTGCTGTGGGGAAAAGAGGAGGAGGAAGGTGTGTTGGATATGTTCGCTGCCTAGAATAAAAATAATAAAGGTGGGACATAAATAAGCAAATATAACTGTGAAGTTGTTAAGCAATGTAGTTGCTAAATGAGACCTGTGTGTGTTCTTTCACATCACCAAGTTCATTCCTCGTTGTATTTCACTGACATTTTTGTGCTCAAATTTAGTAACAAGCACCGTCAAATACAGTGGTTTGCACAGTCTAATATTTCGTCCCATTGATCATGTGTTGGGGGACACCAAAGAATTAAATCCTCACCAACAGATTTGTTATGAGGAATTACATGTTTTGATTGTAGAACCCGGCTTGTTTGTGAAGGTCTAAAGTTTGTTTTTTTTCCACAGCTCAAAAGATGGTCCAGAAAGCTTTGCCTGTTTGTTAATCTCATTTAACAATTCTGTAGCTCCCAGTGAAGTGTATAACATAGTTCCTTTTCTTTTCTTTGTCCTCCAGTGATGAACATGATGCCATTATTTAAAGTCTGCGCCAAAAAGACAGAAGACAAACATCCACGCCTGTTACTCCTGCTTTTAGGAACACTTTCTCTCTGGGAAAATATTATCTGATCTGATATTGACTGTTTTGTCTCTTTTGACAATGATCATACAATGATCTGCAAATCTGGAGAACTCCATAAGGGCTTTGCATATTCAGAGTATCTTCAATAAAGCATTTCAAGGAATTGAAATTATATCTGGTTTTAATCACTCTCTTTTAAAAACCTTTAAAGTAAGCATTGTTGCTTCTTACCTCTTTTCTACAGAAGATTGGAGATGATAAGTTCACAACAGAATACGACTTCAAGTGTTGGATCCTGAACCTTTTTGTTTTACTCTCCAGTTTTTTTTTCATTCAGGAAAACAGATCAGACATTGCTGGGCAAAGATTTTTTTTTTTACTTTGTGGTTCCAAAAAAAGAAATACAACAGATAGGAGGGCAAAAACTAATTTGACGCTTTTGAGGTGGAGGGCTTTTGTTATGTTTTTTTTTTAAAAACGTGAAAAACATTTGAAAACATGATAGATGAATAGGACTGTCCTGAAGAAGATTCATATAAAATTGGTGTCTTCAGATTTTTTCTTGGAAAGGAAGGCCAATTTCTTCCAATTTGAAGGCATTCTGAAATCATTCATTTGAGGTTCATCTAGTGCAGGGCTATCAAACTGTCACGCATTGGCCACACCCACGCCCAGTTTAGCGAAGGGGGGAAGTCATGTGATGCCACCATGACAATGCAAGTTTAACACCCCTTGATCTAGTGAGATCTGTTTATTTGAGGTCCCCATGTCAAAAATTCACCAGGTCATATGAGTTAGGTCATATGAGGCTGTGTGATTTATCTGTTAAATGCAGATAATTGTGTAATTACTCATTGTCTTGTGTTTACACTTTCATAGAGAAACTGATTAAGGAATAAACATCCAGAACATTTACACCGGTCATTATTTAATAACTTAGGCAATTGTGTGTGCTATGTAGCAAGCATCAGTGATAAACTAATTATTCCATGCTGTCCAACATCTAGAGTGTATTTCTGAAATGAAACAAATTTGACATCGATCAGGCCTTGGGCACTTAAAGCATAAATGTGCTATGCGCAATTCCCCATCTGGTTGATTTGATTCTCAAAGAAGCTCTCAATGGCTTCTGTCAAGGAATGCAACATTCTGAGGCCCAGGAAGGCAAAAAAAGGGAGGGGGGCTGGTGCCAGAAAAAGGGGAGCCACACCCACCTAGTCACATGGCCACACCCACCTAGCCATGCCCACAGAACCGGTTGTTACAAAATTTGAATCCCATCCCTGCTCATGACCGTTTTTCAGTCATGTCCTTTGCAGCATCCCCATGGTCATGTGATCAGAATTCAAACGCTTGGCAACTGACTCATTTATGACGCTTGCAGTGTCCTGAGGTCATGTGATCCTTTTTTGCGACCTTCTGATAAGCAAAATCAATGGGGAAACCAGATTCACTTAACAACCAGGTTACTAAGTTATTGTCGGGCTCCAGACATGCTGCAACATGCGCCGGAGCCCAACAACGAGAGGAACTGCTATTTACCTCGTCGCCGCCCCTATGGAGAGACGAGGATGATGTCATCAGGAGGCGACAGGGAAATGGCAGCAGGTTGGGAATGGGTGGCAGTTACTGAATCCAGGACTGAAGGAGAGACAAGCAGTGGCTGATGTTCGGAGAAGAATGGCCATGGTGGTGGGTAATCTGGGCACAATCACGGGATAATAAGGAAGGATTGTAAGCACATGGGCGAAGGGAGCTGCAGATAGGCGGATGTTAGTATAACGAAGGACCAGATGTTAGGCAGCTTGGATGAGTGGGAGGGGCAGAACGAGGGTATTTAAAGCGCTGAGTGGCAGTGGCTCAGCACTGGCTTTATTTGGAAATATCCTTACTCGCTGTTGCATTGTTTTGCTTGCTGGAATAAAGCAAAGATTACTCCAAACTAAGTCCTGGCTGCTTTTTCCAGATGGGAGACCAAGAGACTAGAGGCAGCTGAGAGTTATCAACTGCAGTGATTCACTTAACAACTGAGGCAAGAAAGGTCGCAAAATGGGACAAAACTCAAGAAATGTCTCAATAACGTAAGTTTAGGGATCAGTTGTGGTTGCAAGTTGTGGATCACTTGTACTCCATTCTGAATAAAGATCCTACGAAAAAAACAACTTTATTCGGGGATGGGTTATGTGCATGGTGACAATTTGTGAGAGATTTCTGTGCTGAAGAGGCTGGAACAGTTCTTGTGTAAGACAGAATGAGGGAACCGTTTCCAAGCTGACAACATTTGCAATGCAAAAAATGATGGTGAGATGTTAGGAGAACATTCTCTGCTGTGCACATTTTAAATCCATATGGGTTGAAGCTACAATGGAGGGACAGAATTTCTCGGTTTTGAGGGGGGGGGGACAAGTTAATTAAAAGTAAGCAACACATCAAACCCATACATTGTGCAATGTCTTATTTGAATACTGCACCAAGGGTGACTGCCTTTGCTAGAAGAAAGTCCTTGTCTCCTGTCCAACTGAAACTATAAGACAGGAAAACACTCGGCTACATATAAAATCATTCTACCCCATCTCCTAAGTCACACACAGCAACAAAACCTTTTGGTCCTGGAAGTTGTAAGCTACCTGTTGGGATTCATGTATGTTTACCCCATCTGAAAGGCCATGTATGAACCCACTGGGATTTTTGGCATTCAGAGAACAGGCACTAAGTGTATGGCCCATTATTAGTTATATTTCATCTAAATTAAACTTGAGTTTCACTTTGAGTTTTATCCATTTCTGTCCTGGCCACAAGACTGAACTCCTCCGAGGGAGGTTAAATATAAGCAAGATTATTAATAATTTTTTTGCCACATTTGCTTTTCTAGTCTTTTGATAGTCTGGGGAAAATATTCTACAGCGCACAGTCACAGATTCCACATCAAACAGGAAGTACAACAATGTCAGCTGGAAGGGATTTGCCCCCCAATACTTGGGTTGTTTTTTTCCTCAACCCACATCCCACTATGCACTACTGCCCATGCTGCTAGTTCAAAATACCTTGACCTTCCCGTCAAACTTTCCTTTAAGTCCTTGAAACATGATTGTTAAGATTTATATCCTATCTTCCCTCTCACGTTATCTTACACGGAAATCTCAGTTCATCGTATATATTACTAACAAGAACATTCAATGGGTGACTGGCCCAAAGGAAGGGCCATTTCCTCTAATCCTTTGCCAGTATTTTTCAAAAGAATGAATATAAAATACATTTATAGAATAGAATAGAATAGAATAGAATAGAATAGAATAGAATAGAATAGAATAGAATACTTTTATTGTCATTGCATTCCACAAATACAATGAAATTTGAAAGCTACTCCAGCACAGTGCCCCAAACACCACATCACAATCACACTAGAGTTTTAAAAATTAAAATTGAAATAATAATAATAATAATAATAATAATTAATAATAATAATAATAATAATAATAATAATAATAATAATAATAATAATAATAATAATAATAATAATAATACTAAATCACAAATGCACTGTTTGATTCAAGACAATTACTGCCTTGGAAAAGAAACTGTTTCTCAATCTATTAGTCCTCATTTTAAGACACCTATAATGCCTCCCGGTGTCGGGCTTCAACAACGCTGCTGACGGAATGAAGCCCGACACGTCGCTGTGGTTGGGGGAGAGCTATCTACCTTGAAGGTCCTGAGTCGATGTCGATGACAGCTGATGAAGCCAGGCGCAACCGCCCCTCCCTGCTTCGGTGTAACCGGCTGGGAAAATGCCTGATCAGTTGTTTGTATTGAGATCAGTGGTACTGAAAAGATGTCATGATGTTAAGCAGGCAGGACACTATGGATTCCTGAAATCCTTACAATTAGCAAAACGACAGTTTTGGTGGCCAGGCATGCGGTCGGATATTGAAGCATATGTGAAGTCCTGTCCAACTTGCATGATGAATAAAAACTAAAATAGGGAAACCGACGGGTCTATTGCAATCTGTATTGGAACCAACGAAACCATGGCAAGAAATCACAATGGATTTCATAGTGGATTTACCAGAAAATAACGGGTACACAGTTATATGGACTGTTATCGATTTATTTTAGAAACAGGCACATTTTATACTGTGTAAAGGAATACCATTGGCTAAAAACTAGAACAATTATTCATGCAACAAATATATCGATTACATGGAGTACCCAAATGGATTATATCTGATAGAGGAGTGCAGTTTATATCCAAATTTTGGTGTGAATTCCTTGATGCGATTGGATCGATGCAAGGGTTAAGTACAGCCTATCATCCAGCTACCAATGGTGCAACCGAACGAGCAAACCCAGCCATCGAACAATATCTCCGATTTTATGTTGATTATCAACAAAGTAATTGGACAACTTTACTGCCATACTCTGAAGTCGCATACAACAACACGGTTCATAGGAGCACCGGTTATTCTCCTTTTCAAATAGTTAATGGGATGGAATTTACACCCATACCGGAATGGCCGCAAGCTGCACAGACACAAGAAACTCCCAATACCACTACATGGGCAACCAATATAGCAAAACAATGGGAATCAATGCAAATTGCATTTAAAAAAGCCCAGGAAGCATATGCAATCCAAAGCAACAAGAAACGATCAGACCAAAAGCCATATAATATTGGAGATTGGGTTTATTTATCCACAAAATACATACACCTGGGTTTAAATAAGAAAAAATTAGGACCAAAATTTATTGGACCATTTCAAATATTACGAATCATAAATCCGGTAACAGTGAAGCTTCAATTGCCGTCCCATTTTAAATGAATTCACCCTATATTCCATGTTGCTCTATTAAAACCGGCTAATATGGCCAGACAAGAACTGAGAGTGATTCTGCCGGGACCAGTACGTGATGATCATTACGAAATTGACAAGATACTTGATTCACGTCAACGACGGGGTGTCCTGCAATATCTAGTTAGCTGGAAGGGGTATCCACTATCAGATGCAGCATGGATACCGTGTACAGATATGTCCGCTCCCCGGTTGCAGCGACGGTTCCATAGGAAATACCCCACGAAAGTGGGCGGGGAGGGGGAAATTGTATATACAAGATAATTATTGCCTATTTTTTGTTTTAGAGAGTCACATGGTAGAGGGGGCCGCATGTGTCAAGCTTCAACAACGCTGCTGATGGAATGAAGCCCGACATGTTGCTGTGGTTGGGGGAGAGCTGCCTACCTTGAAGGTCCTGAGTCTATGTCGATGACAGCTGATGAAGCCAGGCGCAACCGCCCCTCCTTACTTCGGTGCAACTGGCTGGGAAAATGCCTGATCAGTTGTTTGGCGTTTTGCAAAGCTCTAAGCACAACGCCTCCCACTCTTCTCTTTTGCCAGCCAGG